CAGTCGCCAAATTGCCCCCAGCTCAGCTCTCTCCTCCCTTCTATTCCCTGATCTAAACCTGCCTCTGCCTGTAAGGCCTCCCCTGCCTTCTCATTCCTCTCTGGTCTCTCCACTCTTGTTCTCCCATGGTCCCTAGTTCAGAATTCCACATTTCTGTGTTTTTGCTGCATTTTCCACTCCAGAGGGACAGCGACTGCAGACACAATGTCAACACCAAAGCTAATGGTCCAGAGGGAGCTTTGGTTCCCAGAGCCCAGGGGGCACCTACTTCTGCAGGTTCTTAGGTGGCTTGTGTGTGTCAGATGAGGCTTCCTCCTCCACTCCTGCCCCCACCTACAACCCGCGGCCACATCCTGAGGATTTCTGACTTCTGACCTCCAGAGCTGCAAACCAAGTGTCCAAAAGGCCTGTCTTTGGCTTTACTTTGGAGCAATTAGTTATCCTAACCAAGGAGGATGTCACTCATCATTTCATTCCCACCGCAAGGACATGTGGAAAAACTGGGGTGATCAGAAGGTTTCCAGACAAAGAGGAAAGGTCTGTCTTGGGATGACACGTGCCCTTGGCTCACGGGTGAATAATGTTTAATGCCACTTAGGGAATTCTTGACATTATTGGTCAAGAAAAAACAAACCTCCTGCAGCTTGATACACAGAGAGACTCACCATCATGGGTTGAAGGAACCCAACCCCCACTCATGAAAACAGTACGGAACACTGAGCCCTTATGTGCCACACACTGTCTTATGTGTTTTACATGCATCATCATTCCTGATAATGACCCTTTGAGTTGGCTGCTGTGATACCCCCACTTTACAGATGGGGAGACCGAGGCCCTAGTTATACAGCTGGGAAAGGGGCGCTGCTGTGTTGGTCACCAGAAAGCCCCTCTTGGCACTTTTCCATCAGGAGTCTAGAGGCACCCGCCACTCACACACTCCACTGAGGTGGGCACAGCTTGTAAACTGGCTGGTCTTAGGGCCACGGCCTGTGGCCCCCGACTGGGGCAGGGCACAGTCTCAGCTCCTCAGATCTAGACCCCAGAGTCTAACCAGCTTCCACCTGCTGCAATGAGTGGAACGTGTATTCCAATCCTTCCATCTTCCTTTGTTGGAGCCCACAGCACAATCACCAACCGAGATGCCCACAGGACCTGGGCAGGTGGTGCAGGTGCAGACAGAGGCAAATCATGGGCACATGTCCTAACAGGGAGGGCCACTCCTCAGCTAGCTGCTGTCGTGTTGGAATTTGGGCCCCGTGTGGCCAGATCTTACTGTTTTCCAGTGAAGCCAGTAATCGAGATTTTTAATGAAATTGGAACATTCTTTAACACCATACACAAAAATAAACTCAAAATGGATTAAAGACCTAAATGTAAGACTGGATACTATAAAACTCTTAGAGAGAACACTCTGACATAATCGCAGCAATATCTTTTTCGATTCGTCTCCTAGAGTAATGGAAATTAAAAAAAAATAAACAAATGGGACCAAATTAAACTAAAATGCTTTTGCACAGAAAAGGAAACCATAAACAAAATGAAAAGACAATCCACAGAATGGGAGAAAATATGTGCAAACGATGCTACTGACAAGGGATTAATCTCCAAAATTTACAAACAGCTCATGCAGCTCAATATCAAAAAAACAAACAACCCGATCAAAAAATGGGCAGAAGACCTAAATAGACATTTCTCCAAAGAAGACATACAGATGGCCAAGAGGCACATGAAGAGATGCTCAACGTCGCTAATTATTAGAGAAATGTAAATCAAAACTACAATGAGATATCACCTCACACCAGTCAGAATGGCCATCATCCAAAAGTCTACAAACAATAAATGCTGGAGAGGATTGTGGAGAAAAGGGAGCCCTCCTACACCGCTGGTGGGAATGTAAATTCATACAGCCACCATGGAGAACAGTATGGAGGTTCCTTAAGAAACTAAAAATAGAGCTACCACATGATCTAGCCCACTCCTGGACATATATCCGGTGAAAAACACAGTTTGAAAGGATACATGTACCCCAGTGTTCACTGCAGTGCTGTTTACAATAGCAAAGACATGGAAGCAACCTAAATGTCCATTGACAGATGAATGGATAAAGAAGATGTGGTACATATATACAATGGAATATTACTCAGCCATAAAAAAGAATGAAATGATGCCATTTGCAGCAACATGGATGGACCTGGAAATGATCATACTAAGTGAAGTCAAACAGAGAAAGACATGTCATATAACATCGCTTATATGCGGAATCTAAAAAAATGCTACAGTTGAACTCATTTACGAAACAGAAACAGACTCATAGACATAGAGAACGAACTTACAGTTACCACAGGGGGAAGGATGTGGGGGAGGGGTAGATTGGGAGTTTGGGATTGATATGTACACACTGCATATTTAAACTAGATAACCAACAAGGACCTACTGTATAGCACAGGGAACTCTACTCTGTAATAACTTACATGGGAAAAGAATTTGAAAAAGAATAGATACATGTACATGTATAAATGAATCACTTTGCTGTACACCTGAAACTAACACAACGTTGTTAATCAGCTGTACTCCAATATTAAATAAAAATAAAAAAATATATTAATACAAGAAAATCACGATTTTTATGTGACAAGCCCCCATACTTTCATGGTGGCAAATGAATTTAAAAATCAGTTTTTAAAAGTACCGTTTTGTAAAACACCTGAGGGCCAGATCTGCCCCCCAATTTGTACCCACAGCTCCAGAACAAAGCAAACAGGACACGCAGATGTTATTATACAATTCTGTATTGAGCGACGCATTTATTACAGAACGTGTTCCTTTTTTTTTTTTTTAATTTAAACAAAGTTCATCAATCTCTCATAGAAACAGTCTTGTGGGCTTTTGTTCTGTGTTTACCGTTATAGGACGTGAACCTGACAAAGTTGTTCACAGGTCTGCTAGCTTTAAGTACAACAGGATTTCCGTGTTCAAAAGACTACACTAAGTGCTTAATCAAATCCCGTCACACAAAAGCCAGATTTAGTCCTCTAAGGATTGCAGTCTGCATGTAAGCCTGGATTTCAATGCTGTGTGGGTTTCAACAGTAAAAAGTGGTGTGTCCCCCACGGTTGCCTTAATTGGGACAGGGTGGCTAAAATGAGATGTTTCGTTTGTTCCAGATTTGATTACTCTGAAAATTGGTCACTGTTTCCTATTGTCAAAATATAAAAATACCTTCATCTGGATAAAAATGTATACAGTGGAAAACTCTTCAACGCATAGCCTGGGTGTATGGAAAAGGAGGTTTTCCTGCAGGGTTTGCATTGTTCTTCATTGATTGGTGTGGAGACTGCAGCCTGGGCTGGGTGCATGAGAGTTGAGATTTCTGGAACACCCCTCAAATGACCCCTTCTGGTCACTGGATTTTGCTGGCCTGGGTTTCAAAATGTTCGTTGCATCCTTGAAACCCCTGTCAGCCATCTTTCCCCCTGGTACTGGGTTGGCACCGATTATGACCACCTTTTGATCGTCATTCTGGATTCAGCTGGGAAGTCACCCAACTCAACCTTCCCACAGAGTCTGAAAAAGTAAAAGAAATAATAACAGGAGAGATTCAACAGCCAATATGGTGGCTGTTCCATCCAAATTGGGAACTCTTCCTCTAAAAACCAGGATGATGAAGACACTGGAGGGTGGGCTTCTTTGAGTTGAGGGGTTGAGTCTTTGTTCGCAAAAAGGTCATGTGTTAGAAGGCAGGAGGTTGGACTTGAGACAGGGATATGGTGGTCATGCTGAGGTGGACTCAACCTTTTAGCTTCATTCTGCATAAACCTGGAGGTGCAGATGCTTTCCGGAAAGCATCAGGGTCAACTTGAGAAAGATGGTGATGAGAAGGGGAGCTGGGGTCTCTAGTTGGATGAATCTGCTTCTTGGTGCTGGGTGCTGAGCTGGCTGTTTGTGGGATGACCAACGCTGTTATTTTCTTAAAACACAAAGAGAGGAAGATGGCGGCCACAGTCTTGCTTTGGAAAGCCAGTAGGGAAACTTCCTGCACTGTGGCCACGATTCAGGCTGGGGGATGGGGTCACTCTGGCTCAAGCGCCACCCTCTAATCACCTGCCCCCATACCTGGCTTTCTAAAGGATTCGGAACCACATCTTGTCTACAGACGGACGGGATGGATTGTCTACCCGCTGCGGTCCACAGGTTTCTGACAAGAGGGAGTGTAAGCAGTTTGTTTTGTACCATGTTACATCTCAGATAGGATGGTCGGCCACAGCCCACATCTCTACAACATTTACAACGGCATGGGACATTCTGTGTTATCAAGGTTGCAAAACAGACCACCAGAATGAAACACATCCTCAACGGCATCAAGGTTTTCATTTAGAGTCTTCCGGACTTTCTCTTTTCAACATGGTTTCTGGAAGGGCAGTAGCAATGGACTGTGTCTCACAGACAGACATGGGAAAAAACCGTGGTTCAAAGGTTATCTAAATTTTGGTCAGTCTTACAGTGTTTTGTGATGGCTTTGAACAACTGTCTCCTTTTAATCTCATCTAGTGGCAAAAATGACACAACTTCAGTGTATACTTCTCAACAGTTGTGACGGTATCCTGATTTCATAACTCTCTGTAATATCAAAACAGCATCAGCTGGGAATAAATTCCAAAGGATCCTTTATTAAAATATCTAAAAGAGGTCTATAAATATTTACTTTTCTAAAAGAGTTTGGAGTTTCCAGGGGAAAAATGTGGCGCCACTTTGCTTCTGCCTCCTGTAGAGGGGCCAGAGTGGAGAAGGGGGTGCTCCCCGGGGCAGGGGCTGCTGAAAAGGGGAAGCAGAGGCACCTGCCTCACCTGCTCACTCACGACTTCATGGAACCGGGATCACAACCAAAACTGTCAAGCAGCGCGACACTGCGGTCCACTTTTGATGGCTGAGCTCCTCCCTTCCTTACCCCGCCCTGAGTGAGAGGGAAGGTGGCCCCCGCGGCGAGCCCCTTGCCCCCACCTTTAGAACTCCCACTCCAGGGCCTCCTCGCGATTGGCAGCCCTCTCCAGCCGGTATATGATGCTGTTCAGGTTGGCCATCTTCTCATGCCGCCGCTGCAAGTTGGGGTTCACCTTGGTGCTGGGGTGCAAGGCCCCGGTTGCGTCGGCAGTGGGGCTGGCACTCGGCACTTTGGCAGGGAGGGTGCCGGGTGGGGATGGGGAGATCGGGGCTGAAGAGGAAGGAACAGGTGACACAGACATCATGAGGCCCGGCGAGGAGGCAGCTGAGGGTGAGTTCAGTGACACCTCTAGGCTGCAGCGTGAGGACTCTGAGGCCGACTTAAAACTTAGAGGGTCCGGGTGTAGCCACTCCCCGCCCTCGCTCTCCTGGAGGGGCTGTAGCGAGGGGCAGGCTGGGGTGGCCCCGCCTGGAAGAAGGAGCCCTGGGGCTGCTTTTGGGAGTCCGTCGTTACCCAGAGGGTCAGGATGCACCTCTTTGGGGGAAACTTGGCCTTTGTCCAGCTCCTCTGAGTCCTGGCTGCTGGCCTCTTCCTCAGCATCCTCAGTCTGTTCCTGTTTAATCCTCACTTGCGTCTTGTCCTGCGTGGTCAGGGGTGTGATGCTCTCCTCGGGACCCTCCTGAAGCTTTAGTTCCTTCACAGTAGGCTTTTGGTCCTCAGCCTCAGAGTTGGGGCTCTGCGGAGTGGGGTCTGGGTGGGAGTGGCCTGGCGGTAGGATGCCAGGACCCCCACTGGGGTCGAGATCTGGTTCCTCTTGGGTCCCCTCCACCAACATCTCCCGGCGCATCCGGGACCTGGGGCAGAGAGGCGGTGAGCAAGGGGCTGGACGGGACCGGACCGGCTAACCCTGGAGTCAAATCACATGAGTGGCCTTCTGACCCCACCCACTTCCCTGGGGGCTCGCTAGGCATAAGCTTCTTCACATGCAGGACCTTGGAAAGTCCTCTCAACAACTCTGCAAGGTGGGTGCTATTATTATCCCCACTTCATAGAGGAGGAAACAAGGCTCAGAGATGTTGAATGACTTGCCCCAGGTTTCACAGCCAGTAAGTGGCAGAACCAGGACTTGAACTCAGGATTGTTGGATCCCAAAGCTCACAATCTAGACCTGTGCTGTCCAGTGCAGTGGCCATTGGTCACATGTGGCTCTCTCATTATTAAAGTTTTTATACTGATTACATGTTGAAATGGTTATATCTGTATATACTGAGCTAAATAAAATATACTATTACGTTAATTTCATCTGTTTCTTTTTATTTTTAATGTGGTTACTAGAAAATTTTATATTATATATGTGGCTTTCACTGTATTTCTATCGGACAGCGCTGTTTTAGAGCATTTTTCAAAGTCAAACCCAGATCTAGTTTGTGCCAATAACCCCCTGCTTCTTTCCTGGAGGGACTCTTAGACACCAGACCAGAAGGGGAAACTGAGGCACACAGAATAACTTGTCTAGGTCACCAAGGCACAGAGAGGCAGAGCTGGGACCAGAAGCTGGGAACCCTGAACTCCAGTCCAGAACCCATCCTCTCTTCACTTCAATGGCCTCCCTGTTGTCAGAGGGAAACTTTATATTATGTTTTAGAGCAGGAAATGATAGGAATGGGTCTAACTCCATTAACTATTTTCCTAATAGCATGAGGTCCAGAGAGGTCAAATCACTCGTCCAAGGTCATAGAGTGACAGGGCTTCCTCAGCATCTGTCTTCAATGCTGTAGCCCTCTGCCCTTTTTTATTAATGACATCATATATTATATTAATACCATTATTTATAATATTAATAATAAAGTACATGTTACTGATAAATAATACTCACATTTATAAATTTTAATTATAAACATCATAATGATGGGTGCTTATCATGTACCAGGTATGGGGCCAAGCACTTTTGCAGGTTATTTCATTTATTTTTCATAATAACCTTATGAGCAGGATACTAGTCTCACTCCCACTGACAAAGATTACAAGGCTCAAAGAGGCACCGCGACTGCTACGGTCACACAGCCAGCAAGTAGTGCAGTTGGGCCCTGAACCCAGCAGTCCGGCTACACTCTCCTGCCTCCCTGGCTCCCTGCCCAGGTAGGGGATGGGGCCCCATCCCAGGATCTTGAGCCTGGAGGGACTGTGAAGGGTGATCTGGTTCACTTCTCTCTCTCAGTCCCTAATCCCTCCACAAAGGTGGCCTTGCCCACCTTCCAGGAGGTTCTGTCATCTCCTTCAGTCCCCTCTAGAGGGAAAAGCTGCTGGGACCAGGGGAAGCGCTAGTCGTTTCCGGTAAGGTGGGATCTGAGGGTGTTTTGGGATGGCTCAATGCCTGAGCCTCTGTCATTAGAGCTTCCAAACTGTAGATCAAGTATAAATATGAGGCTAATAGTCATTTACACCATAGTAAAAATTAGTCTTTTTCTTCAATTCCTGACTCCCAAATCTATAGCAGGTCCTCCCTGGTAATTTTTTCTGAAAACATCCTATTGTTCACCTTTCCTAGAGCTCACTGAAGCTTATATTCATGTATAATGTATCATTATACATGAATATAAGTACTCATTTAATAGTGACCTTCCCTGATGGTCTGTAAGAGATGCTTAGGGCAAGGACTTTGTCTTGTTCTCTTTGGTGCTTGGTACAGAGTTGGTGCTCAATAAACATTTACTAAATGAAGTAATGTATTCTTCTACAATTAGAACTCTTTGAGAGTGGTTTCTTTTGGGAGTGGAATTCTCTCTGCTCATTCAAAGCCCAGCTCAAAGGCCACCTCTCTATAAAGTTTTCCCTAGGTAGAATTCCCTTTTCCCTCAGCCCCGTATTCATTCCTGTTTTACAGAATGTATTAGGTTGTTGCAAAATTATCTGGTTTGTGATTTTAAGCTCCCTAGGGCAGGGATGATAGCTTTGAACCCCTGTATCTCCTGACCCTAGCTCACTGTGCATACATGGCAAATATTTATTGAATGAAAACACTGAATAATAATGGAGGGCTCAGTTCCTGTGGGAAACAAGAGGGGAGAGAATGTCCCCTGGGAGGGAAGGAGGGCATGAGGTTTTAAGGACCTATGTAATTTGCTGTTTGGCAGGCTCTGGGTCTGAGCAGGATAATATGCAATATTTTACAAAGTATGTACGCTTGAAGTGTTTCATTTGATCCTCAATTCAGCACTGTGGGGTTAAGTATTAGGTTCCTTATCTGTAAAATAGGGATGAGACTGAGAAAGGTACAGTGATTTGCCCAATAACACACAGCCAAGGTGGGACTTGAACTCAGGTCTGTGTGATGCCCATGCCTGGGCTGTGGAGAGAGACTTCAGGCATTCCACCCTTCCAGGCTCCTCCTTCCTCTTCTCTCTCTCTTGGGGGTCAAGAGACTCTCCTCTCTGGCACCACAGAGGCACCAGAGACATTTCTTGCTCAGCAGGCTTGGTGGGGAATGCCTCAGAGATGGTCCTTGAAATCTCATCAACCCTTCTCTGCAGGGCTCTCAGGAAGCCCTTCTGCGGTCTCCTTGGAAACTGCTGGACTCAGCCAGTCAATGCCCTCAGCCAGCCCTGGGACTAAATTCCCGGGCAGCCCAGCCCACTGTGGGTCAGCTACTCCTAAGACTAGGGACTGGTGAGTGGGAGAAGGCACCATAGAAATAGGAATCACCCATTCCCTGAGGCGGATGGTGCCCGAGGGGCTGCCACAGGAATTTCCTTTGGCCTTAGGAGTGGGAGAGGCCAAGAGCCCCAAATTGGGGCTCTGACACAAGGTTCAGTGGGTAGTTAGGGTTCCTCAGGCCTGTGCCCCAAACACCATTCCCTGTCCCTTCACAGACGCGGAGCAAGCTGGGTGAAGTCATAATAAAGACAGTGACAATGATAATGTCAACACCTACCACAAACTGTGTGCCAGGTATTTTATGTAAATACATTAGCCCATCAAATCCTTAGGACAACTATACGAAGTAGATCCCATTATGGTTCCCATTTTATAGGTTAGAAGACGACGCTCAGGGAGGTGAAGTCCCTTCCCCAGGCCTCACAGCTGGAAATGGTTGAGCTGGGATTTATCAATAGATCCAGGTCTGCCTATGTTATAAAGCAATATGGTCCTCTTATCTCCCAGAGGCCATGCTGGGCTCCCTCCAGGCCCCGGGACAGGGAAGGGGGGCCGGCTGAGACCCCTTCCCACCCTCCCAGTGACCACCCACTCAGTATCCCTACCTGTAGTTGTGGAACCAGTTGATGACGGTGTTGGTCTTGAGGTTGAGCTGGAAGGAGAGGAGCTCGATGGTCTGCTGGGAGGGGTAAGGCTCCAGCTGGTAGGCCTTTCTCAGCGCCTCCTTCTCCTCAGGGGCCAGCACTACTCGCGGCTTCTTGATTTGCAGGAGGCTCAGGTCCTGGGGCTGCAGGCAGGGGCTGGGGCACTCGGAGCGGGTGGCTGGAGACTCACTGTCTGAGCCGGTGCTGATGAGGCCGTACCTGCGCTTCAGGTAGGCTGGGGCGGGCGGGC